GGAAAGAAAAAGAGAGAAGAGGCCAGAGTGGGAGTGAGTCACCAGGTAGCCACGGGGCACAGACCCAGCACCCACTAAACAGCTCCACCAGCCCTGGCTCCCAGAAAAGCCCATTAGCACCTTCTGAAATCAAGAGTCTGGCAGGATCACAGCGGACAAACAAGTGACAGAGTGTGGTGAGGTGCTACTGGAGTTGAGCTCTGTTGTGAAGGGGATCACTAGGGGGTGGGTAAAATAAGTCATGTATTATGCACACTCTGCAGCCTTTAACACGGATGATACAGCCGTATTTACGGACAGGGAACTATATCGGTGGTATACTGTTACATGAAAAAAGGTAGGATTCTATTTTATTAAGTATATGTATTTCTGTATCTCTATGTGTATATATGCAGAGAAGTCTGAAAAGGTAGGTATCAAGATGATAAGAGTAGGTGTAGGAGACTTGTTTTCAATTTTATGCTTCACTTAATTTTCTAGATTTTCTGCAATGAGTATGTATTTCATAATGAGAGGGAAATAATTATATATACATACACACACACATATATATAACATGTGATAGACATATGAAGGCCCACACTGAGGCCAGAAGTACCCAAAGTCAGCCGCAAGGATCCAGCCCCTGAAGTTAGCACACGTGGAAATTCTCTCGGAGACGCTAATGGAGGCTGGATGTTCAGGTAAAGACCAGACTGAAGGGAAATGAGAACTGGTCTGTAATTTGCCTCACGTTTTCCTATGTCCCAGACTAGCCAGATGATCAACCACCCTATCTTCTGCCTAAGGCCAGAGACTCACACAGATGGGATGAAGAGGTTTTTAAATCCCCTTGAGGGAAAGGAACTGGAAGCCCAGAGCAGGGCAAGCTGAGAAGGAGGGGAGATGGGAGGGGCAGGCAGAGAGGGTGGTTGAGCGGTGGGTGTAAACACTCAGGCACTTCAGCCTCTCCTGACTCAGGCCCCCCTGCCAGCCCACCCAGTCCACCTGTGAACCCTGTCACAGCCCGGATCCCTCAACATCCTCCTGGTTTCTTCCAGCCCCTCCCAATCCCCCTTCCTGACAAATGACCATCCCACATCTCTGGAAGTCCAGTTTTGACTGACCCCACCCTGGTGTGCTGCCCTAGCTCCTACTGAGCTCCTCGCCCACCATGGGTTCCTGAATCCAGAAAGAATAAAGAGCAGGGGTCTTTATTCAGGGGTCAACTCCCCTACATGCACCCAACACACACCCCGGCTGACCCAGAGGCAGGGGGTGGACCAGATAGCCCCGTGGCTAGGACACGCAGGTTGTGGCGTATCTCCCACCCCTGAGGTCCTCACCTCCTCATAGAGGGTCCTGAGGAAGTTGATCTCATCATTCAGGGTGTCCACCTTGGCCTCCAACTCCACCTTGTTCATGTAGGCAACATCCACATCCTGGGAGGGGTGGTGGTGAGAAGGGGTAGAGGGACACCATGTCCTCAGTTCACGAAACACTTAGCAGGCGTGGGAGCAAGCCAGTACTGTCCAACCCCCAGGACCAATCACCACTGCCCTACCAAGAAACATACAGCTCCTCCAGGCTGCCTGACGCACCCACGGTGGGAAGTTCCCTCCACTGGACCCGCCCAGGCTCGAGGAGAACATCATCTCCACGCACCCCCAGGAATGGAGGTGCCTACTCAGCGCTGATAGCCTACAGCAGCCTGGAGCCCCAAACCTAGCGCTTTACCAGTTCTGAAAGGCTTTAGTGGTTTAGACACACCCCCGGCTCTGCCACCTACTAGCTATGTGACCTTGAACAAATCACCTCAGCTTTATGAGTCTCAGCTTCTCATCAGTCAAATGGGAGAGCATGGGGCTCCCCTGGTGGCGCAGTGGTTGAGAGTCCGCCTGCCGATGCAGGGGACACGGGTTCGTGCCCCGATCCGGGAAGATCCCGCATGCCGCGGAGCGGCTGGGCCCGTGAGCCATGGCCGCTGGGCCTGCGCGTCCGGAGCCTGTGCTCCGCAACGGGAGAGGCCACAACGGTGAGAGGCCCACGTACCAAAAAAAAAAAAAAAAAAAAAATGGGAGAGCATGAAATCATTCAGACTCCAGGACACCGCTTCCAGAGACGGCAAATCTCTAGCCTAAATATGTAGCTTGCAGCATGGGTGATATAAGGCAGGTGGGCAACAGATAACACCTCAAGTCTGGTCCCCTGAGAGCCATCCTTTGCTGTGGTTAAGCTCCTGTGGAAAGGGCTCACTTCCACTCATCCCTGAATCTCCAAGGGCCCAGCACTCCGGGGCAGGTTACATTTCTGTGGATGGGCCTGGAACGGTGAGTGAGTGTGTTTTGAATCAGATTAAGTCAATCCCCTCTAAGATATTCCTAAGGCCTTCTGACCTCACTTGCACACCTCCAGGGACAGGGAGCTCACTTTGCCTCAAGGCACCCCATCCCATTCATTCAGCAAATATTTCAGGCATGCCATGTGCCACCCTCATCTGTAATTAAATGTTATGACTGATAGAGCACTTCCTTATTTGGGGTTGAAATCGTCCCTTCTAACCTCCATCCTGTAGTCATAATTCTAACCCCTCCAAAAGCCCAGAAACAAGTCTAGTGACTCGCCAGACACACCTACACACAAATACACACACACAGACATGCAGACACGTGTGTGCCCATACGCACACGAAGCAGGCTTATAAACGGCTGGTTTCCATATCTCTCCTTCTCCAAGCCCGTCGCTCCCTTCGTATAGACCCAGCCAGATCCTGACCACAGGTCCCTACTGGCTGCTCAGGTGAGAGGCATGTGGTCCCCTGTCCCCTGTGCCTCCTACAATGCCACCCGCCCTACCTGTCTGACCCCTCACCGTCTTCAGCACTACAAACTCATTCTCAGCAGCCGTGCGACGGTCAATTTCGTCTTTGTACCTGCAGTAAAGGAGGGGAGCATGGTGTTGGTGCAGCTGTGCCTCCATCCCCCCATATCCAGGTGTGAAAGTCTGACGTGCATCACCTTTACCCTTCCTTAATGACACACCTGAAAAAACAGGTGTCAGCTACGAAACAAAATGTCCCTGACTTTTCCATACGGCTGTCCCTAGGGCTTTGGGTCTTGGCAGGCATGGGGGTGAGGGAGCAGGGAACATACGTGGATCAAAGGACAAAGGCTGCATATACTGGGAGTGAGAAGACGAATAACAGCCATGCTTCTGGACCACTCTGTACGGGGCCTGCCCCGTTACGTGCTTCCCATGCATTCTCTCAGTTAATCCCTACAACAATCCTATAACAATGGTGCTATGATTCTCAGGGAAAGGAACTGAGGCACAGAGAGGCTGAGTACTCTGTCCAGTCACCAGGCTGCTAAGTGGCAAAGCCCGGACTTGAAGCCTGGCCATCTGACGCCTGAGCTCACACCTTAACCTGCTTAATCCCACCGGCTGAGGGCGAAGAAGGGGCCCGGAGAGGAGGAAACTTGTGGACTCAGGAAGGAGGAAAAACCAGCCCCCAACTAGGTGACTAGCCCCCATCGCTACTCCCAGAGCACCCCCTCCATCCCTCTTTCTCCCAAGGAGCCAGCCCCCTGCCCGTAGGAGGACGCCGGCAAAGCAGTGCACAGAGCAACAGGGCAGGTGGGCCTGACCCACTATTTACTTGAGGATTCAAAATGGTGTCAGAGGGCTCCCCTGGTGGCGCAGTGGTTGAGAGTCCGCCTGCCGATGCAGGGGACACGGGTTCGTGCCCCGGTCCGGGAAGATCCCACATGCCGTGGAGCAGCTGGGCCCGTGAGCCACGGCCGCTGAGCCTGCGCGTCCGGAGCCTGTGCTCCGCAACGGGAGAGGCCACAACAGTGAGAGGCCCACATATCGCAAAAAAAACAAAAAAATAGGTGTCAGAAAGAGAAAGCCAGCAGTGTCCACGAGCTTCTGGGGAACAGCAGGAACAATGTGGGGCAAATTTAGTGGGGAGCAGGATACTCAGGCAGGCAGAGGCCCTCCAGGAGCCCAGACCCCCAAAGTCCCACTCCCCCAGGGCCTCTAGAATAGTTAGGAAAATATCTGTGAGGCTGTCTCTCCACCCCTGCTGTGCCACTGGGCCCAGAGGATGTGCAGACAGGAGCTCCCTGGACAGCTGCACTCGGGACCCCTTCCAGTTCCTCCTTCAGCCCCAGCCTGGAGCTCAGCCTGGCTCCCCAGGAAAGTGCCCTGTGGGTTCTGGGTTGGGGGAGTATGTGTGCACACATGCACACCTGACAGCAGGGGCTCGCGGGTTGTCCCAGGCCTTCCCTGTCCTGCACCTGTCTGCTTCCACCTGCCTTCCACCTGCCGTGGGATTAATCCTGTTGACTGTTGCCCTAGGGAAGTCGGGGGTGGGGATGGGGGGTGGGAATGGATAGACACTCCCTGCAGAGGCTACCCCGAGTGCCCACTGGGCAGGGATGCCCGGCCCAGCCTCTGGCTTTGG